GATAAGTTTTTGTTTCAGTATTCTCTGGTTGGTGTCTTTATGTCTCTTGTGCATTAAAATTATTATTGATTAAATCCTAGACTTAGATAACATGGGGTTGGGGGTGGAGAAGAAGCTGTGTCCACATGGAAACCAAAGGTAAAAGACAAATTTACATTCTAACTTATATTGATGTAAAATGGGTTTGGGCTTCTGTAATATAGAGGTTAGTGATTTCTTTTGGACTCATGCCAAATATACATCATCAGACACAGCTGAATATCTCACTAAGTGCTTTTTGAAAAGAATAGATAGTTGCCATTTTAGAGTTTACAAAGTACTTTTCATATTTGGTCCTCCCAATAACCATTAGCAGTAAATAGTACATACTTATTTTATACATGGGAAACTTTACATTCAGAAAAGTTAAGAAATTTACCTGAGATCACTTGATTTGAAAGTGTCAGAGAAGCTTGAATTTGGGTCTTAATTTCTAAGGCCCATATTCTACCATATATGGCCGTGCAATTTTCTTCAAATGAAAAAGAATTATAAACTATTTTTGTTTACATTTTCTTTGTAGTATTATAGCATTTTTATTACATTCTACCCAACTATCTAAAATCATCAATGATTTTGGATGCTAACCAAAATTTGGGTCCAATTCTGTCAGCTGTTATGATTAGGGAAACAGTCACTTTCACCTGTGTATTATTTTTTATTAGTTTTCAAGAGCCATTTAATACAAGCTATTTAACTTCCATCCATTCTATTTCTCTTACAACATCTGTCATTCAAATTTACTGATATTATTTTTAATGCTCATAGCTTCTCCTAACTATGTCTGATTTTTAATGTAAGTAATGTAAGAGAATATAAGGATAGCAAAATTCCATGGGTTTGCAACAGATTTAGATTCTAATGAGAACCCAGGAGAAAAAAAAAGAATAGAAGAAGCAACATAGTTTCTGAATTTTTCATTTCAAATGGCTCAATTCTCATTTGCCATGTCTGGAAGTCATTTTGTCTTAGGCTTCACGACTTGATGCTTGTTTCTGATGCTAGTATAATCCACACTTTAAATAAACTATTTTAGTTCTGATGTTGGTAAATGTCAAGGGAAGAAAAGATATTTCATGCACCTACAGCATCCTAAAAACTCTTGCCAACCCCATGAATCTGACTCTGCATTATCCTTCCCCAGAAGGAGAGCATAATTTCATTATCCATGAATCATCACCTCTTAGACTGTAACATCATTGTCAGAGAGCCTAATAGAACCAGTGTTCAGCTGGCTGAGAAGGGGGAGCGGGGGGAAAGCACTGGGGCAAAGCACAGGTCACTGGTACGATCAGCAAGCTAGAGGGTTCTAAAGCTGGAATGGGAGGCCTCCCTCCACTGATAGCTCTGGTATACCTACTGACTGGTAAATAACTGATGCTGAGTCTTTCAGTATTAAAATTGAAATTTGTTTTCCCCACCTAAATTGCATTGTATGTAAGTATACTGCCTATGAAAAATATTAATCCATTTAATGAAAATATCAAAATATTTGTCCAGCATTGGTGAGTATAAATACTTTAAAATATTTCTCATCTATTCTTATTGCATTATTACTCACTTTTCATCTTTGGACACGTATTTCTAGTCCCCAGTGCCAGCTCTACGATCTCTGTTCCAGCATTAATAAAAAAAAGTCAATATGCAAAATATAACTTTCAACAATTACATAACAAATATATTTCCTAGAGAAATGAGCTAAAAAAAATCCTAATCTGATGTACAGATCCAAAAACATATGCTGTAAACCACATTTACGTAAGGATTCAGGATAAAAAGGTAAAATGTGTATGAATAGCTGTGTTGAGTTTAACCAGCCACTGGAGGTCACTGCTGCTCCACACAAATACACTTTATTGCCTGTCTACTTAGGTAGTTGACTCACCAAATCAAGTAAAAAATGGCTTAAATTCTTTGAAAAGATGTAATGTCAACATCCTTGGAAAATACAAATTTATTTAAATGGAATATATCTTGCATAAGTATTGCTTAGAACACTGTGGCACTAAGACTATTAACTCCATGCTGCAGCCGCACTGTGTGTACTAGGGTTAATAAAAATGGAAAAAACCCACATGCAGTTCAGAGACTAAACTCCATTTCCTCTCTGCTTGGGTAAAGCAAAGTACTGACTGAATCTATTCTTCATTGATGTGTCTCTGTTGCATAGTTCAACAGGTCAGGCTGTTTATTTAACTGCTGTTACCTTTGAGGGAAGTCAGATATTTTATGTAAATTTGCACCAGAAAAATGAATATCAGTCACATTTCTCTAAAATGCAATGAGCTTGAAATCCTTATGAAAATAGATTTATGCGATGTAGTCCAGAAAGTGCCATGGGGTGGAGGTGAGGACAACAACTTCTAGCAGGAGAACACTTGCCAGTTGGCTTTGTTAAATTTACAGTGGTGAACTAGTTATTGTTTAACTTACAAGAATTATGTATTTGTGCTTAGAAGACACTGAGAACTAGAGAAGCTTCATTCTCAAAGAGGGGGCAGGAGGAAAGATTTTTTATTTTTATTTTTTAATTTCACATCCTGAATCAAAATGAGTTTTGCCACCTAAGGGATTTTATTTTGGTTCTTACCTATTACAAAGTTTATAAGGAAAGTTAGGCATTGAAAAATGACTACCTTTCAAAATGTTGGTCATTTAATCTTACATTCTACACACCAAATAGCTTTGAATTTTAGAAATATTTTTCAATATAGCAAGCATATTTTATATATACTAGTAGCACCACAACATTAAGAATTTGCAAGAATTGAAAGATATAAGTATAAATATGCCTTGCCTAAATATATTTGGTATCCATCACAAATGAGGCAGAAGGTCAAGTCAAAGAATAGAAATGGGCTTTTTCACTTTAAGACTGTATTTAATTAACACAATGATCTTTAGTACAGATAAAAATGAAGCTGGCCAAAGAAAATTTCTTTTTTAGATGGAATATGTATTTACTAACACTTTATGAAAAATGTAAAATTACAACTTCAGTGAAAAACATCACAGTAAGCTCAGTCATCCAGTTCATAGTGCCGTAAGGAACTATCTGCATTATCAATTGGGAATATGTGATTCTTTGCCATTAATAAATGTATATTTAACAATTATTCATGGGTAAACATTGTAGCTATGATGCTTTTCTGCATTGGCATCAATTGTAAGATTTAATCAAAATCAAAGTACCTTGAGAAATTCACTTTAAATGATTCTTTTTCTTCATTGTTTATAAAAGTATGATTTTAATAATGTGACTTCCTTGCAAATATATTTCATGGTGATTTGCTTAGATTTTTCCTCTCAGCATATGAAAAACCTCCAAACAATATAAAAATGTTAGTAAAAATAGCCATTTGCTTTTTATTTTTTGCTGCAGAGATTTTTGAAAGACCAGGGACGTGGTTAGAGATGTGGGGCTTGGCAAGTTAACTTAAATGAAATAGGCTTAATATTGCAATTCCTGATTTTTGCTCCTATAATAGAACTGTTCATTTTGAAGGATGAAAGAAGATACAGACTAAAGATGTTTTTCTAAAACCTTAATGGACTGTGGTTCAAGTTACTTAAATACAGAGGCTATGATATTCGTGCTGCAGTCAATAAACTTTCACCAATGACAATAAAAACATGCATGTAGCTTGCAGATTGCCAACAGGGTCTGTGCAGAGTTGTACTGATGGATGAGTTCACAGTACAGATGAACACAGGGACACTGTGTAATGTTAGCAATAGCAAAGCAAAAGAGAACTGTCATAGTGTTGATCTTTTTTTCTCTAAGATTTAATTTATACACTCATTAAGGTGTTATCAAAGTCATCCTTTTCGCTAAGGCTATTGGTGGAAAGCATGTCTTGGAATGTGTTCTCTTTACACATCTGAATGAAGTGTCAGTCATTAGGGGACTGGTGTGTGCAGGACATATAATGGAACACAACAGGACAGCCTGACAAATCCTAAACAGAAGAACAGGACACAGCTAACGATTCCACTGACTACATTAGGATCTTTGAAAAAGCTGGAAAGAGAAATTCTGGTAAGCTCCCAACCACATGCATATCGCAAGCTGCCTTCCCACTTGCAAACCTTATCTCTGAAAACTCCTCAGTGTGAAAGAGGTGAGGCAGAAGTGGAGAAATCTGCCTCCTCAAATTTGCCTCTTGGCTATTTATGAACGGTCCAAGCTAGAAGAAATTGATAGTGAAACCTCTAGTCTGATTTTACAGGGACAGGTTTCAGAGACAAGGCTTCAGATCTAAAACTTTGAATTTTACCATCTCCTCACATGTTGCAGTGGCTACTTGCAGTATTTTAACCCTTCAACACTTTTTCCCTATCCTTCCCTTATTGCAATTCAGACACCTCTGGAGACTGCCGATGGTGCTGCTTTAACCCAGCACCATCTTTTGATAGTTTCCTGAAATTTTCTTTTTAAGGCAGGCATTGGTTTAAAGGCTTTGCCTGTCTCTAAAATGTTCCCCTAAACTGAGTCATCTCCTAGAATCAGTTCAAACTCCTAGTACCTGGTCCTGGGATCATTCACCTCTTTCCTTGATTTTCCAATGAACTACAAACCTCCTAGAACTGTAGATTTGGTCCTAAGAGAAGGACAGTAACAGCAGATGTGGGGGATTACTAATGAAAGACGTTTTATCTTAAAACAAATGCGACATTAATAAAATCAGTAAAGGGTCTTATACAATAGGCATTATTTTAAGCCCGAGTTCAAGCTTCACATTGATTGTGATATTTAAATTTCAATGGGTTGATTATGTATGAGAGGAAAATGACAGTATTATGAATGCACTAAAACGGACAGGGAAGGACCTTGCCAGCAAAGTGAGAGGGAGAGGGAAGGGGAGGGGAAGCATCGCGTTCCCTTTATAGTCACAAGAGTTCAATAAAGCACCACTTATTTCCCAGCTTTTAAGAGCGCTTTTTATCACAACGGTTCATACCTCACACTCCCTGGAGCCTGATTTGCTATAGGTGCAGGGTCCCGTCCCATTCAGCAGCATCTCGCTGGTCTCTGTGTTGGTGGGTTTATAATCTACATAAAACTCCTGGGTGCTGGGAGTCATTTGCTTTAGGGACTGTCTTTTCTTTTTCCTGTGCCTTCGCATGAGGGAGCGCTGCTGCAGCTGCTTCATGCTCGCAGGGTACCGCTTCCATGACACGTAGATAACGAGCAGGATGACGAGCACCGACAGGAAAAGGGCCACGCTCCCCGCGATGATTTTATGGAAAGAGATATGCTCGGCGTCAGCATCAGTCTCTGGGCCGGGCTCGGTGGCTCCCACAGTGGGGGGCAAAGGGGGCTTGCTCTCATGCTTCGGCCTGGGGAGCTTGGGCTTAAACGTCGGCTTTGGGAGAGCCCTGGCCAGATCAAACCTCTCTGTGGTACTTTTGCCACAGATGCTGTAGTTCTTCACTGCATCAATCACATTTACTCCTTGCAGCTCTTTGGGACTGGCACAGATAATTGTATTCTCCCTCAGACCTTTAAAACTTTTCAGCCAGTTTACCAGGGAACAAATGTTTCTGCTGCATTCCCATATATTCCCGGCAAGACTGATGTCATTGAGGGATATCCAAGAATCCAAAATCTCTTGACCAATAAATGTAAGCTTGTTGGAATCCAGGTTGAGGCGCTGCAGATTCGGGACACACTGGAAAACACTAGGTCCACTAAAAGCTTCGATCTCATTGCCTGATAAATCAAGCCTTTGTAATGAGCTCCAGGTCCAGGACATGGTCTGTCCTATGACACTGATTTTATTCCACTGCAAGTAAAGATTCTGAAGGCTCACCAGCCTTGGAAAGAGGGCCAGGTTTAGCTTGGAAAATTGATTGTGCTCCAGGTGAAGTTCTTTGAGTCTGATCATGCCAGCAAAGACATTCCTGGCCAAACTTCGGATCCGGTTATATCCCAGGTCCAAAAGTTCCAGGTTGCGGCAATCTTGGAATATTCGCACAGGGATGGTTCTCAGGGAGTTAGACCGTAAATGTAAACTCAGCAGCTTCCGCAAGCCCCGAAACTGTTCAGATCCCAGAGAATGCAGCTGATTATAGGACAGATCCAAGTTCCGTAAATTTGTCACAGGTCTGAAGGTATTGTTAAGAAAATAGGAGATTCTATTGGAACTCAGAATCAACTCTTTGAGTCTGCGTATTCCATTAAAAGCATTTTCGTCAATATTGCTGATATGATTATGGTCAAGGTATAGCCAGGTGAGCTGGTTGAGCCCTTTAAATTGATTATACTTAAGTTTTTGAAGGCTGTTATAGCGAAGGGACAAACCTAAGCAACCAGCAGATATACTTGAGGGTATCTCCTGTAATTTCTGAGATTCACAATATACCATTTTGCCTTCACACCTACAGCCCTTAGGGCATCCACGTTCGGCAGAAGAAAGCATTGTCAGTAAGACAGTGGGGGCTATAACCAGTGCTACAGCAGATCCGCTCAGTAGCCTAATTACATTGAAACCTGGAAATAAAAACAACTTAGAAAAGTTATCCCCCCAAAAAATAATTCATTTTTTATCAAGCAAAAATAGGCATGTATTTTCATTTTTACAAATGTCAATTTACATAACAACATTTAATATCACATATCATCTCTTTGTAGTTAAAGAGAATTGTCTTTAGGGCTTTTTTTTTTAATAGTTAAACAAGGAAACATGTCCACTAAGCAATTGAATTTATAGTCTTAGAGCAGAGCAAGGTAATCTCTAAAATAATTAAGGCAGAAATATTACACAGACTAGAGGTTTTTTTTTTTCTCATTTTTTGGGGTTTTAAGAAGGAAAGAAGAAAAATGACAAAACATACCCATCCTTTGTATTGTTCAAAGGTCGTCCTTAGGTCTTTTGCTTTGGCTTAGGGGGCCACTTGCATGACAGCCCCTGTCAGCTGCACTGTAGTGAGTCAGGGCTCGCTGACACCCAGGAAGAAAAATTGGACCCCTTGGGAGATGGACGGATTTTGGAACATTATTCTTTGCCAGCCACGCAGAACACTCCAAGAAAAAATAAATCCCAACACCGCATTCGCAGCAAAATATCAAAATCTTCCTAGGTAATAGGATCTTCATGGATATTACGTTTTTGCATCTTTACAGTTTTTTTTGGGGGGGGGTTAAAAAAAAAAACAAAACTGGCTTCTACAGTTGCTTCTTATCGGAAAACATGATGTATTCCTCCAGGCAATGTGGGGCTACCTGAGCTGCCACATCTGTATTCCATAGCCCAGCAGTTCCCGCGGTGAGCACCCAGTTCAGCCACAGAGCTGCGTTGGAGCCCAGAAGGCAGGAGAGCCCCGTACCGCGCACACGCTCAGCTCACTTCTGCAGACTGTCATTCTGAAAGCTGCTCGGACTGTTGCTTTGGTTTCAGTGAATGCAGTCTTATGTAAAGCTGCCCCCAGTGGTGAAGAACATTATGGGCATGTGCAGAAATGTCTCTCTTTTATCTTGCAAATGAGCAGGCTCTCTGCTGGAAAATGAATGATTCTTTTGGGTGGCTCAGTAGGAACTGAATGGTCACCGTAATCAATAACTAGCAACATTTTCTGTGATTTCCAAGTCTTGTTTTACAATTTGGCAATGTCTGTATTGTCTGCGTCCACTTAATCACCAAACATGTGCTGCCTAGAGTTTTTCTGGAGCTTGACATTAAGTTCACAGACCGAATGTCAATTTTTCTTAACCTCAACGTAGGCTTTGAACTGAAATTTATAAAATGAATTATTGAGCTTTTCACAGAGAAGCATTAACTGCCTGCCCCTTTGACCTCTTGGAGTCACAGTGATTATATTGTGCAAGGTGTCTCAGGATGCTAGAATGCATACATTTTGGAACTGAGAGGATAACTAATAACATATGAATTAATGAGTCCAGTGGCCTTTTTGGTTTTCCCACAAAAGATATAATTGGTTTTATGGCTTATGGTTTGGTTTGTTGTTTTGGTTGCTGTAATTTTCTTTTAATTAGAACAGAAATAAACTATTTTTAGTGCTAGTATAAGAAACAAGAGATCATTTGGTTCATAGTTTATTGATGCTGCTGCTATTTATTACACTAATAATATTTATTGAGCACTTTCTAAGTGCTTTAAATGGGCTATCTTATTTTATCTTTAAACAATAGCATGATGTAGGTCCCGTTATAACCTCCGTCTTCAAGATGAGGAAAAAGACTTGGAGAGGTAACTTGCTCAAGGTCACATAGCAGGCAAGTGGCAGAGCTGAGATTCAGAACCAAGTGGCTCTTATGCTTGAACCTCTAACCACTAGATGATCCTGTTCAACAACATTGTTATCCTCATTTTAAAAATCAGTCAAATGAAAATTAGACCTATTAAGGGATTAGGGCAGGAAGCTGCAGTCATCAAATTCTTGCTTCCTCTAACAGGATTATGTAAATGTCTTTGATCTGAGGCTTCTAAAGAAGTATAAAAACTAAGAAGCAGTAGTTTAGTCTGGTGATTAAGAGCACAGATTTTGGCATATAGACTCAAATCCTGGCTATAACTTACCAGCTTTCTAACTTTAAGTGGGTCACTTATCTCCTCTAAATCTCAGTTTTCTCATCTGCAAAATGGGCATGATAACAAAAACACACTTCATGTTTTGAGACATGTTTTAAGGATCGAGTCATTAATATATATAAAGTACTTAGAACAATGTGTTGCACATAGCTGTCTGTGTAAGCTAGTTAAATAGTATAATATCAAGCTTATTGTACTTCCTAGGATTGTGTGTTGTTTAGTATTATATTGATTGTACTGACTATCATTAACTCACAAAGAACTACTTTAATGAATAGTTAATAATGAGTTTTATATTGTACACAATGGATTTCTGGAATTCACTCAGTCTTGCCTTCTTTCGTGAGAAAACTTCCTATATATACAGCATTTCCACTTTACCTTTAAAATGAATCTTTTGGTTCTATGGACCATAAGTAATACATAATGTCTGATTTTTTCTTCCCCAAAGCAGAACATAGTAACATCTGCCCTGTCGAGATAGCCATTTTGTTTATAAATAAATGGTATCCTTTAAGAAAGTTTGCCTTGTTAGGTTTTTCCAGGTGCATTGGCTGTGGAAAAACCTGGAGAGCTTTCATATTCTCCAAGGATGAGAAGTTTGGTAAAGGTTAGTCATGGTAATCAAAGGGGTCCCACAGATATAGTCCAAAGCAAAATCATCAATTCCTTAGGTAATATGCTATTACTAGGGCCAGGGGTTTCCTCCCCAATATATCTATGCTATGAATGAACATAAAGCACCCAGAGAGCTTGTCAAAATGATAGACTTCTTAATCCCTCTCCCAAAATTCTGATTTAGGGGTATGGTAGAGGGTGTGCTATCAATAATCTCTGATGGTCAAGTAGGTTTAAAAAACTCAATGTAAATGAATGATTAAAAATAATGTTTTCTCCTAGTAGTAAGGGAGGGTATGCAAACTTATGATATTAGGATATATGTTTCATGAGGACAAAGATAATTTAATCTACTTCATTTTTCCTAATACCTATAACAGTGCTTGACACATGATAGATGCTTAATAAATATTGAAAAATACATTTTTATGCAGGTTGTAAATGCTATGCATGTAGTATAACTGGTTATGTGTTGTTAGTCTTGTGTACATGGTATTGAGCCCTACAGATTTCCTCAGTCAGTGAAATTGGAAACAATTTTGGAGCAAGTATTTTTAATGGATGTATGTGAAAAGGCAAGAAACTAGAAATGGGAAAACTTAGATGATTAGTAGGTAATCTTACTTTTCATGAAGACATCTCTTGTCTTCATTGTTAAGCCATAAATTTTATGAGATCAGTACATATGCTTTTGAATATTCCCCTTGGAACAGTACAGAAGGGTAACACTGAAACTTTATCATCTAACATCCAAAATGGGGCTTGACAACTTGTATTTTTCAAAAAAAGAGGAAAGGTAATCATATTTATAACTTCCTTCACATCTCTGTTGCTTGAAAGCATCTAATTTTTCTCCTCACTCTCCCTTTTTCTCCGTGGGAAGTAGCCATTGAGTCATCTGTTATGCCCAACAGCTGCAGAGGGCCACTCTAGGATGGGGGGCGCGGGAAACCATCAACTTTGTATTTCTTGTCTGTCTTGATTCACTCCCTGGTGACAGAAGAACAGAGGAGCCCACTGAGAATGTAATTCTTTCACTTTGCTTTTCCTGGGGCAAATCTTCTTGGATTATTTATAGTGAATAACATTCTCTGCTGTGTTACACACTTTGCCCTTAGTTTTCAGACATTTTTCTGGTATCGTGGTTCCTGATCTTGTCTTGATCTGGAGTTCTGACTTTATGCTCACCCTTACTGACCATTGGTCTCTTTCTCAGCAGTAATCAGTAGCCACTCTGGGATTGGGTTGGCTTCCAGGCACTCTGTATGGCCCCTAACTTGGCATTAGCCCTCAAGCATGTATCACCTCCAGGTCTGACCTGGTTCAAGGTGATGAAGTCCCTAAGGAGGGAATGTTATCCATGAGTTAGTTGAGAAATACAAAAATAAAGCAACTCAATTCTAAGCTACATTGACTACTTGAGGCTGCAGAAATTACTCCAATAAAACATAGAGTCATCCCTCAAAAGGACACAAAACAAAAAAAAAACTTATGCTAAAAGATTTTAGTAATTTGTTAGTATGTTTTAAAATTTTTTTCCTCCCTTTACTTGTTGACTATAGGGAGCTGATTATTTCTGATTTGTCTTTCAACAGAAGCAAAATTATACTACATTGTGTATTTAATACATGGGGAGTGGCCAGTGAAAAGGCCCTAATCCAGAAGCAGACCATGTGTTCAATGAACAGCAAGAAGGCCAACTAATCTAGAGCAGAGAGAGCAAGTGGTAGAATAATTAGAGATAAAATCAGAGAGGTACTAGATCCTAGGTCATGGAAGGCTTTGGATGACATCCTAAGAACATTGGCTTTATTCCGAAGAAAATGGGGAGCCAATTCAAGATTTTGTGCAGAATAAAGATATGATCAAGTTACCTATTAAAAGGATCACTGCACTGGACTGAATGTTTTTATCGACTCCCGCCCCCCACCCAATTCATATATTGAATCCTCAGTCCTCAGAGTGGTGGTATTTGGAGATAGAAGACTTTGTGAGGTTTCCAACGTCATGATGGGATCAGTGGTATTATGAGGTTAAGAAGAGACATCGGACAGCTTTCTTCCTCTCTGTCTCTGTTCTCTGTTGTGTGAGAACACAGGAGAAGGCGGCTGCTTATAAACCAGAAATCAAGCCCTCTCTAGACACCAGATCTGCAGATTTCTTTATTTTAGATTTCTCAGCCTCTAGAACTATGAGAAATAAATATTCAAATACTAGATGATTAAACCACCCAGTTCATGATATTTTTGTCATAGCAGCCCAACTAAGACAACCACTCTTGCTGCTGTTGTAGGAATAGATGTTAAAGCAGCAAGG